TCACTGAAACGTCGGGAGTTGAAGTAAACTATTGGTTGATGTGGCTGTGTTTTTCTCTGAATCTACTTCCAACTAACAAATCATTCCCCTGAAGAGAGTGACAGGAAGTCACTGAAACGTCGGGAGTTGAAGTAAACTATTGGTTGATGTGGCTGTGTTTTTCTCTGAATCTACTTCTAACTAACAAATCATTCCTCTGAAGAGAGTGACAGGAAGTCACTGAAACGTCGGGAGTTGAAGTAAACTATTGGTTGATGTGGCTGTGTTTTTCTCTGAATCTACTTCCAACTAACAAATCATTCCCCTGAAGAGAGTGACAGGAAGTCACTGAAACGTCGGGAGTTGAAGTAAACTATTGGTTGATGTGGCTGTGTTTTTCTCTGAATCTACTTCTAACTAACAAATCATTCCTCTGAAGAGAGTGACAGGAAGTCACTGAAACGTCGGGAGTTGAAGTAAACTATTGGTTGATGTGGCTGTGTTTTTCTCTGAATCTACTTCCAACTAACAAATCATTCCCCTGAAGAGAATGACAGGAAGTCACTGAAACGTCGGGAGTTGAAGTAAACTATTGGTTGATGTGGCTGTGTTTTTCTCTGAATCTACTTCCAACTAACAAATCATTCCCCTGAAGAGAGTGACAGGAAGTCACTGAAACGTCGGGAGTTGAAGTAAACTATTGGTTGATGTGGCTGTGTTTTTCTCTGAATCTACTTCCAACTAACAAATCATTCCCCTGTAGAGAGTGACAGGAAGTCACTGAAATGTCGGGAGTTGAAGTAAACTATTGGTTGATGTGGCTGTGTTTTTCTCTGAATCTACTTCCAACTAACAAATCATTCCCCTGAAGAGAGTGACAGGAAGTCACTGGAACGTCGGGAGTTGAAGAAACTATTGGTTGATGTTACTGTGTTTTTCTCTGAATCTACTTCCAACTAACAAATCATTCCCCTGACGAGAGTGACAGGAAGTCACTGAAATGTCGGGAGTTGAAGTAAACTATTGGTTGATATGGCTGTGTTTTTCACTGAATCTACTTCCAACTAACAAATTATCTTCAAAACATCCCACTTTTGTTATTTTTCGAGATATTTGAAAAACACAGAAATTGACAATTCCTATCTAACATTTCAAGAATTAAGTCTTCTTAGTTTAAATATATTATTATGAAGGCCCTTTTCTGAAATCTGATAAAAGTAAAAAGGTTAAACGCTGTTTTCAAATTGATTACATAGCCCAGGTGTCAATGAAAGCTTTACTCTATAAAAGAGTAAGCATATCTATGTCTTCATCTAGTCTCTAATGAGAGGGTTCTACTATGTCGGTAGAGCGACTTCACTACACCGAATGTCGATAACATCTACTTCTATAATTCTCTAACAAATTAAGTACTGACCGCTTAGTCCAGAGATGTCTAGGAAGTCTCATCTCTCATGAGTATTCTCATTAGCTTTAAACTACATTGACTCATCCTTCGCCATCATGTTTCTGCTGGATGGTCAGAAAGAGACTAGGTGACGTCACAACTTACCTCTATTACACAGAAGAAATTAACCTAGATTTCGATCAAGCCCTTCTTCAGCCATAAACGTAAACAAATGGGCATGGGCATGGTAATGAAGAGAATTTATGTATGTCGTTTTCTTTAATCGATAAATATACTAATTTATTATGGAATATTTGTTTGATCAAAGTGTATAGATAGAAAATTTATGATTTATTAGAAGAATCAATAAACATTGTGAAGGAATGCCTCTAATGTATATAGTTTATAAGATTTGGGGGAATATACTGTGTGTGTGCATACTTAGATAGGATGGTTATTATGATGTTTTTATACGTAAATAATACATATTGCTCTCTCTCTCTCTATCGATGATGGAATTATTCAACTTTTGTTAAATAATGGAAACATTTTTAGCATTAGTGAACTGAATATGAAGAAGATTTGGGAAAACTTGACTAATCAGTGGTGAACCTTCTCAGCGATTTTGTCAATTTAATCTACCAGATCGCTACAATTATTGTATTGGTCTTTCTGCTTATATAGTCTGTACTTGAAGGTGTATTGTTGGTAATGTTGCTTAAGGAAACTGTAGAAAGTTGCTTCTATTTAAGTATCATAAGTGAACAACACACATATCGAACTCTGTATGTCGGGGAAAGAACCATTCAACGCTCTATTTATTTTTTAAATAAAGGACGAATTTATACTTTTTGTGAACTGAATAATAATAAGAATTGGAAAGACATTTGACTCATTAGTTGTTAAATTTCTTATCGATTTCACCGATTTAATCTTACATCGCTACAACTGTTGCATTGGACTTTCTGCTTATATAGTCTGTACTTAAAGGTGTATTGTTGGTAATGTTGTTTAAGAAAACTGTGGAAAGTAGTTCCTGCTCAAGTATCATAAGTAAACTATACACGTACACACACAAACCCACACACACACACATATATATATATATATATATATATATATATATATATATATATATATATATATATATATATATATTAGATAGTAAAAAGGCATATATTGGATTGAATAAAAGATTTAGTTGCCAATATTCCGGCTGGCTGAACGCCAAATAAACGGCAAATAAATCTTTTATTCAATCCAATATATGCCTTTTTACTATCTAATGATTTAAGTATAGATTGCTCTATTTACAATATATATATATATATAGCGCACTCGATATGTCAAATATGGAACCAATAAACGCTCTATTGCTTTCTTTTAAATAAAGGACGGTTTTTTACCATTAGTGAACTGAAGAAGAAAAATTGTAAAAACTCACACATTAGTTGTGAAATTTTCCAGCTATTTCGCCAAATCAATCTACCTGATCTCTACTATACTAGATTTCTACTCTACTAGATCTCTAGTTAGTCTTTAGAAGACCTAGAGCTATAATTAATTTTGTATAATTCCAGGTTCCTCTTCTAATGTTATGCAAATAGTTTACAGGAACTTGATAGAGGCTAGTGATGCGATCAAATATATCTACCTAGCGTAACCCTCGCTACATGTGTGTATCACAAAAGTAAATAATTCTCCGTATTACATAACACCTCTACACTTTATATAACCTCCGATAGGTGGTTATCTTCAGGCTAACCTTCGCGAATTTATCTATCGGGGTCAAAATTCTGGAAACGTGAGAGAGTCTCTCCATGGCAGTAGTTCCCTACATTTTTAACAAGCGACATGGTTAAATCGATTTTTAGGAAAAACCAGACTTTTTATCTATAGTTATCAAAAAGGGTTTATGTATAACTGTTTAGTACTTCTTCGCCAAGTATTTCATAACTCAATCAACCTCAAAAGTAGTTTTCGCACAAACAATAGCCATCTTTCATAAGAAACTATCCAAAAAATATAGATTCTACTTGTCTCTATTAGAGATGGTCCTTCATTAGCGCTGGATTAAATCATAACAAACTCTTTATTACATTTTTCATAAATGATTACTTATAACATGTAGGGATCAAGGAAGCTTTTATTGTATAATCATAGAAATAGTAAAGTATCACATTGATAAAGCGACCTAGAAATAGAAAAATTCTAACCAAATTGTCCAATAGAAAATTTGATCGAATACAATTATTGGGATGAAAAAGAGATTTAGTTTTATAAACAATTCCAGTTGTTTACATCTTTTATTAACACTGGTTCCTTTAGCATTCACATCACTAACTACTTACTGGCTTATATGCATGAAAAACAAAGAGTATAATTAAAGAAAAATATACTAAATAAAATATTGAATGGAATAATCCCTTGTATCAATATTGAGTAAAATTAATCATTCCTCCAGGGAAAAGTGTCTTTTCAAAACATTTTTATTCTCTAGCTTTCGGGCACGGACGTCCTTCTACAGGAGAAAACCTGGTATAATAATTCGTTAATAGAACACGAGTTAAATCGAATACTATTTTATATAATTTTATGATATTCTATAGATATATATATATATATTCATATTAACTATTATACAAATTGAGACAAAATTTTCTAAAAATATATTCTGTTGACACCAGCACGCTAATATTCAGAGCTAAGAAAGTGTATCTTCAACTTCCTACACAAATCCCACAAATATTGGGAGAATGGAAGAGATTTTAAAGAGGCTTCTATCCTGAAATATGAAGATACTCAGCTTTTAAATTAGCCATTTGCATAAATACTATGATTTGTATGTGGTATCGATGAATTTATTGTACAGTATGTACATCTTTATGACTTCCGTTGATGCTTTCTCTCATTAGGAAATATTTATAGCTTCCATGAGTCTTATTTAAATCTCATCTTACATCCACCCCCGCCATTGTGATTTATCTATGTATGGTATCTCTTTGTTCCCTGTTGTTTGTGAATGTTCTGGATTTGTTTATAGGAATATTTTGTAGGCAATATACCCCGTACCATATTTTTGTTTGTCATTTAATAAAATGGTGAATTTTTGCTGTTGTTTCATGCCAATGTAGTATTCTTCTGATAGAAATTTATTTAGAATTTTGTTTAAAATCTCTCTTAATATCTTCATTATCGAATGTTACCATTCAGCGTGTGTGTCTCTTTTCTTGATTATTTCTCTCTTTATGTGTAAATACCAAATATAGGATGAAAACCCTATTTTTATAATTGGAAACCTTTCTGAAGAAATTTGGAGAAACATATCACAACTCAGATACGATGTTAAATATAGAAATGCACCTCCAGATGTAAATTGTGTTATTTATTTCAATGGGATCAGGAATGCGCAGATATAAAAAGAAAATATGCAAATATATATTCGGTATAACCTGTGAAAAAAAATTGAAGAGACTTGGCTCTCTTAGGAGAAGTGTATCTAATTATCTATCTCTCTCCCTCGCAGTAGTATTTGCTTAGGAATATGGTCGTTCATTGGAGGGGTTTCACAATGAAAACTCTAGTTTCAGATGGATGCAAGATGACTGGAAGAACGGTGAAAAAGAGAGAGAGATGGCGAAACACGGATTCGAACCAGAGACCTTTAGATCTTCAGTCTAACGCTATCCCAACTGAGGGCGAACGGCAGTCGTAGAGATAAGTAATGTAAACATATGACTACATTACAACAAGGTTTGGATAAGATGTCCTTATCTTCCAACCCCCTTATCATCCCGGCGCCCAAACTGCACGTGCATACATTAGGTGGCTGGAGACCTCTCTTCTTATCTTCTCCTTACTCTTTTTACTTATCCCAAGTACATATGGTACAGGCCGTGGTCATCTTGTTGAGTATGGGGGTGAGTCTGCTTTTACTTCATCATCAACGTGTGGCGTGATCTTTGGCGCAGTGGTTAGCAATCATATCTTCTAATTTTCAGACCATTCTATTGGTTTTCAGAGAAAGAGAAACGGAACAGAAAAGACGCACCAAGTCCTGGTCGAAAAATTTGGCTGTTGAATAGAAGGAATAAACTACGTACGTGTCAAACAGGGAAAGAGAAACAGGACAGCAAAGACGCACCAAGCCCAGGCCAACAAATTTAGCTGTTGGATAGAAGGAACAAACTACGTACGTGTCAAACAGGGAAAGAGAAACAGGACAGCAAAGACGAACTAAGTACTGGCCAACAAATCTAGCTGTTGGATAGAAGGAACAAACTACATACGTGTCATACAGGGAAAGAGAAACAGGACAGGAAAGACGTGCAAAGCCCAGGCCAACAAATCTAGCTGTTGAATAGAAGGAACAAACTACATACTTGTCAAACAGGGAAAAAGAAACAGGACAGGAAAGACGCACCAAGCCCAGGCCAACAAATCTAGCTGTTGGATAGAAGGAACAAACTACATACTTGTCAAACAAGGAAAGAGAAACAGGACAGGAAAGACGCACCAAGCCCAGGCCAACAAAGCTGGCTGTTGGGTAGAAGGAACAAACTACATACGTGTCTAACAGCGAAAGAGAAACAGGACAGGAAAGACGCACCAAGCCCAGGCCAACAAATCTGGCTGTTGGATAGAAGGGACAAACTACATACGTGTCAAACAGGGAAAGAGAAACAGGACAACAAAGCCGAACTAAGTACTGGCCAACAAATCTAGCTGTTGGATAGAAGGAACAAACTACGTACGTGTCAGATCAGGGAACGAGAAACAGGACAGAAAAGACGCACCAAGCCCAGGGTAACAAATCTAGCTGTTGTATAGAAGAAACAAACTACGTACGTGTCAGATCAGGGAAAGAGAAACAGGACAGGAAAGACGCACCAAGCCCAGGCTAACAAATCTAGCTGGTGTATATAAGAAACAAACTATGTACGTGTCAGATCAGGGAAAGAGAAACAGGACAGGAAAGACGCACCAAGCCCAGGCCAACAAACTAGCTGTTGGATAGAAGGAACAAACTACATACGTTTCAAACAGGGAAAGAGAAACAGGACAGGAAAGACGCACCAAACCCAGGCCAACAAATCTGGCCGGCTACAAAAAGGAAGCAATCAGTTGAGAGTAAAAGGCACAACGGGGGAACAAATTGCGCCTAATTGGTGACAGCCATAAAGTGTCGCCTGCCTCGCTACTAGAGATTTTCTACGGAGAATTCCCTCGACCTCAGTTCTTCTGCTACCTGGCCGTTAAATTCGATGTCATCTCATTATTATCACTTCATCATTTACTTTTAAGTGAATATAATATATTTTTAAATTGACACTTATAGTTTCAATTTACAAATGACTTCGCCTTTGTAATAATATTGATATGAACCGTATTTTAATTATGATGAATATATAAATTCACATTATTTGGGTTATGTATGCTGACTGGAGTATAGGAGCTCCACTATACTTCCTTCCTGCGGTGAATCTGTATAAGACCGGTGGTCTTAATAAATTTGTATGTGTGTGCGTTATAACAAATATATAGAAAATATTTATATCGTATTAAAAACGTTACTCGTTCCTGCTGTACTTTAATGCTTGTAACATCTTGACTGGAATCTGAAATGGAATGAGAATTCATGCATCCTTTTTCTTCACCTTGTACTATCTCGAGGAGAATTTGCGCCATTATAGAGACCATCTCCTTATGTACTCAGTATTGCAAAAATTTTCTTTTTTTATTCTGATACTTGTAGAATCTTGTATTGATTTAAGCCATTTTAGATTAAGTTCCATTATTGTGTTAAAGTTACATGCACGTTCTTGATATATCTTGAAGCTTGGTAGGGCCTTGATATACACTCATGGACAAAACTTAAGGAAGTGGTACCTTTTAGCATGTACAAGCATTGTATATCGTGATTTATATAATACACAGTGACCTTTAGTGAAAACACACGAGATAACCAAGTGTGAACAAAATTGTCTCAGTCTCCTTCAAAGAAAGAAACAACCGCAGCATCAAAATATGGAACTTTCTTAATTTTTGTCAATGGGTATTTTTCTATACTGTAGTAGCGACACATTATTTTTTTGTAAAGTTTATACAATTTTCTGTTGTACCTTATAACTTCAATAATCTGTACATTAATCTACACATTTATAGAGATAATACCTGATTGTACTGAGGCTTAAATTGTATTTTAATTGTACCTTCGCACTCGTGGCATTTTGATGTAGAGCTGCACTACTACAGAAACAATTACCTTATTGTACTGAAGCTTAAAAATGTTTTTCAATTGTACTTTCATGTGTTTGTGGAGTTTTGGTGTAGAGCTACATTATTATAGAAACAATATTCTGGTTATACTGAGGCTTCATAATTAAACTAGATGTTTCTATACATTATAAAATTGTGAAAACGTTTAAAAATACAAAATATTTTCTGACAACGAGTTTCTTTACATTATTTATTATAAAAAGAGACTCATTGTGAGAAAAATAATTGTATTTTTAAACTAGAAGTTTCTCAGCGCTAAGATTGTTTCATTAAAGAAATTCTTCACCCGAAACTCTTCACTTAAAATCCTAAATATATGCAAAAATATCAAGATAATAATAGTATTTTCGCAATATATTTATTCATTTAAGATATCAGAGAACATCTTGACGTAGATACACATTATTAAGGAGACACAAAGTTCTGATGATACTAAGAATTAATATATATGATTGTTGTACCTTGGTGCTATCCAGACATATCTAGATATATTAAAGGGATTTGAAAGTGCACATGTTCCTGACGTACCTCGGCAGCTATGTACCAGTGGCTGGTGGTCTTCCTCGTGAGTTCCTCCACCATAGCGGCCGAGGCCACCTACAGAAGACCCCCCAAGACTGGCGGGCCTCTCCAGGACCCTACTTCATCCAATCTGGTCACATCCCTAGAGAAGGCTGAGGTAAGTCCTCTACTAACTTCGGTAACCTAGTTAGTTAGATGAAAGAAGCATTGTGGTTTTTACTTAGAAAATAGCAACAATCGTGCCTCGGAAGATTCTAACTGACCACGATATCGCCTCTTATAAAAGATCGAATTGTCAAGTTACAATTATCTCTCTGTTCGAGAGCTTGAATGCCAACGCCATTCTAGAACATTTATACACAAACTATTATAGGGAGGAGATAGTCTCCACTTCTAACAGGGAGGACATCCTCGAGTACTTGAAGCCTGAGCAGAGGTCTGTTCTGAAGCTATTCCTCGACATGGCAAAGTCGGGGAGATCTGTCCGACTTAAGGAAGTGACATCGAACCTGACGAGCCTTAGTAGGATTCGTCTGATGTAAATATTTTATATTTTCTTTCTATTTATAACCCGATTTAATATTAAATGAACGATTAATAAAAGTATATTCAACCTCAATCTCTATCTCTCTAATGACATATTTATTCATATTATTGTCTTATACAATAATTTAAAAAAATGAAGACAATTTCAAAAACAGGATTTGTGTGTGTGGTATTATAATGCTTCATCATCGATTTCTTTATCAGTAAACCTAAAAGACAAATAAGTATCCACGAAACACTTTGTCATCTCTATGCTTAATTTGTTGCCTCTAATCTGTAATTTATCATTTAACTTCTATCAAAAAAATATGTAAAATACTTGCTACACCTCAAATATAACCCAATATTTCGAGAGTTTTTTACGTGATGCAGTGTAGATAAAGTTTATTTAGAGTTATTATAGTGATTGAGAGAAGCTTTTTTAAACAAATCCAAGTTTACAGTAGGTTCCTAGAAGCCGGTTTTCCAGCTCTTACAAAATTTTATGAACGTCAATCTGAGGCAATTGACCATCCTCCTTACTTCCAATTGGCGTTCAGACGTTGACCTCTTGATAGCCGGTCTGACTCACGTGTTTACAACTCCTTCTTCTCTACATTCCCCGGTGGCATTACGCAGACCATACTTACATATTGCTACATTGTTGCATATCTTGAGAGCCTCCTTGAACGTACCCTATGATGAGCGGCCACCTTTAAAAAATCCAATATGGGGCAACCTGATTCACATGTTTACAACTTCTTCTTCTCTATATTCCCCGGTGGCGTTACGCAGGCCATACTTACATATTGCTACATTGTTGCATATATTGAAAGTTTCCATGAACGTACCCTATGATGAGCGGCTACCTTTAAGAAATTAATATGGGGCAACCTGATTCACGTGTTTACAACTTATTTTCTCTTAAATACATGTATACCTAGGGTAATGTGGTATTATGAATTAACCAAGCTCTTTGGGTTAATAATTTTTCAGATGAGCCGCTTATGAAGCTTTTTCAATAGATGCAACAATGAGTCAACTATTTAAGCATCATTGAATATTTGAACCACTCTTTCTTACTGAAAGGTTGTTAAATCAGCCCCTCAATTCTTGAACTCAGGAGTCAATGCCCGGTCCTATCTCCTCTGAGAAGACTATAAAATGCCATAATTCAATCGTTAGGAGCCAGATTTCTCCGACGCCGTCTCTACGTCAGTTCTCATTTTGCAGGATCTCGAGCTTCTTTTTCTCTCGACTAAACCTTGAGTGCTTACTCCTGTATGTTCTCCACTCCCCATCATACAGACTGTGATTCAAACCTCCACATTTATATTATATTTATAGGGTTATTTTCTATGCGCACACACTAGC